AAAATTTAAACAGAAGTTTAGCAGTTTCTCGCAGTTTCTCGCAACATCAAAGTGCATGGTACATATTTCCTATGCCGAAGAGGCAGTTGCCTTTCCCTCTAATCTAATTCCGTGGTTTTACGTACCAAGCAGACGGTAATATTAGCCTACTAGTGAATAGGCATATTTTGAGGCACAACTTATATTTTTTTATCTGATATTATATACTGTTCATCACATTACCGTTTCTGACATGTGCCCGCTGTTTTTACCTTTCATGTGATCTACGTTCGCGATTATGACAAAAAACAAATAGAATGAAATGTTATATGCGTTCCATGTATACGGCACCCAAACTCAGATTTGTTGTAGTTGCAAAATCGTGTCAGTCTACATGTATATAGATCCGCGCTTCACCTGGATTATAAAGCTAACATAAGCCACTATAAAGCGCTTTACAGTACATAGATATACAATAAGCATATACATTAATCAATACAATTTTGAGGAATTCGCAGGAGCTGCCTTATCAGGCGCTAATTACTAGTCCTATGCCACCTGGCTAATATCTCCATATGTGTGTATGCCTGCGTGCGCGTGTGCTGGAGATGTATCCCCGGGTGAGGAAAACTACGGTCAATGTACATGTACATGTACGAAGTGGTTATATATTTTACTGTCAATAATTAGACCGTGTCCATTTGAGTTAGAATTTTACACGTCGATTTGGGTCGTTTAAAAAACTTCGAAAATACCATTACTAAATTCCAGGATACAGACAAAAAGATCAGCTTATGGACGTTGCTAAAATATTACTTATGAAAATACAAGTATAGGTTGAAACAAGAAACCGAATATATTGTAAAGTCATTCCTCAATTTACACAAACCATGTTTGGTATCGCACAACATTCGTCCATTTTGCACACAAACATGCGCAAGCAATTATCGTACAGATTTTTACCGTTCGCACATCGTGCGCACATGTACAACGTACATCGCGTAACGTTTTGCGATCATCCCACAACCGTAATTGGCGAGTAGCATGAAGGGATGTAGGGCTACCAAGTTCGTTCAAATGCATGATATGACTTACATTCAAGGTTAAATGGGGTCCAAATATGTCAAAACCCATAAACGATTTTCTGTGATTAACTAAAAGGACCGAGGTAGTGATATTTGGCCTGTAACAACATGCTGGCATGAATTACTTAAGTTTGTTGACTTAGATTCACGGTCAGAGTTTTCAATATGATTTAGGAACGTTAAACAATTTCTACTAAATAACCAAAATGGATAGGTCGATGATGTTTGGCCGGTAGCATGCATTTTAATTTAAGCATACATCAGCAGTTTATATCTAGTTTATCTTCATTTAAGAAACAGAATCGGAATACATCATGTCATATAATTTTAGAGCAATTTGTTTTCCCCTCCTCTTGTATACATACTTGTGAATCACAAGTGCCCAATGATAGCTCAGCTTGGTCAGGGTCAATCAGAAGGAAACACGTGACATCGTAATGACTGTGGACGACTCAGAAGAGGGTACACAAGTATATACTAGACAGGATTGAAGACCTTTTGTGGCGGGCAGTAAAGGGGGAAACAAATGTACATACCGGACTACATGTTTGACCTTTTGTCGAGGTCACGCTTTACAATGTATAGAAGTGTACAACATCACGTTCTGTCACGTTCTACAATGTAAAGTAGTGTACAACATCACTTTCTGTCACGTTCTACAATGTATAGTAGAGTACAACATCACGTTCTGTCACGTTCTACAATGTATAGTAGTGTACAACATCACGTTCTACAATGTATAGTAGTGTACTACATCACGTTCTGTCACGTTCTACAATGTATAGTAGAACGTGATGTTGTACACTGCTATACATTGTAAATCGTGACAGAAAGTGATGTAGTTCCCTGCTATCCATTGTAGAACGTGACAGAACTTGATGTTGTACACTACTGTACATGGTAGAACGTGTCAGAACGTGATGTTGTACACTACTATACATTGGAGAACGTGACAGAACGTGATGGTGGACACTACTGTACATTGTAGAATGTGTCAGAACGTGATGTAGTACACGACTGTACATTGTAGAACGTGATAGAACGTGATGTAGTACCCTACTGTACATTGTTGAACGTGACAGAACGTGATGTTGAACACTACTGTACATTGTAGAACGAGACAGAACGTGATGTAGTACACGACTGTACATTGTAGAACGTGATAGAACGTGATGTAGTACCCTACTGTACATTGTTGAACGTGACAGAACGTGATGTAAGACACTACTTTACATTGTAGAACGGGACAGAACGTGATGTACTACATCACGTTCTGACACATTCTACAATGTACAGTAGTGTCCACCATCACGTTCTGTCACGTTCTCCAATGTATAGTAGTGTACTACATCACGCTCTGTCACGTTCTACAATGTAAAGAAGTGTACAACATCACTTTCTGTCATGTTCTACAATGTAAAATCGTGTACTACATCACGTTCTGTCACGTTATACAATGTAAAGTAGTGTACAACATCACTTTCTGTCACGTTCTACGATGTATAGTAGAGTACAACATCACGTTCTGACACGTTCTACACTGTACAGTAGTGTACAACATCACGCTCTGTCACGTTCTACAATGTACTGTAGGGTACTACATCACGTTCTGTAACTGTCTACCATGTCAAGTAGTGTACTTCATCACGTTCTGTCACGTTCTACCATGTACAGTAGTGTACAACATCACGGTCTGTCACGTTCTACAATTTACAGTAGTGTACTACATCACGCTCTGTCACGTTCTACGATGTATAGTAGAGTACAACATCACGTTCTGACACGTTCTACCATGTACAGTAGTGTACAACATCACGGTCTGTCACGTTCTACAATGTACGGTAGGGTACTACATCACGTTCTGTAACGTTCTACAATGTCAAGTAGTGTACTTCATCACGTTCTGTCACGTTCTCCAATGTATAGCAGCGTATACTATCACGTTCTACAATGTACAGTAGTGTCCACCATCACGTTCTGTCACGTTCTCCAATGTAAAATAGTGTACTACATCACGTTCTGACACGTTCTACAATGTACAGTAGTGTACAACATCACGTTCTGTCACGTTCTACAATGTACAGTAGTGTACTACATCACGTTCTGTCACGTTCTACAATGTCAAGTAGTGTACTACATCACGTTCTGTCACGTTCTACAATGTAAAGTAGTGTACAACATCACGTTCTGTCACGTTCTACAATGTATAGTAGGGTACTACATCACGTTCTATCACGTTCTACAATGTACAGTAGTGTACTACATCACGTTCTGTCACGTTCTACAATGTATAGTAGTGTACAACATCACGTTCTGTCACGTTCTACAATGTACAGTAGTGTACACAACACGTTCTGTCACGTTCTCAATGTATAGTAGTGTACAATATTGCGTTCTGTCACGTTCTACAAATTAACTCGGAGATCCATAAAAAGTGAAAGATTAACTCGGAGATCCATAAAAAGTGAAAGATTCACTTGGAGATCCATAAAAAGTGAAAGATTAACTCGGAGATCCATAAAAAGTATAAGATTAACTTGGAGATCCATACAAAGTGAAAGATTAACTCGGAGATCCAGAAAAAGTGAAAGATTAGCTCGAATATCAATAAAAGTGAAAGATTCACTCGGAGATCCATAAAAAGTGAAAAATTAACTCGGAGATCCATAAAAAGTGAAAGATTAGCTCGGAGATCCATAAAAAAATATAAGATTAACACAGAGATCCCAAAAAAGTGAAAGATTAACTCGGAGATCCCTAACAAGTGAAAGATTAACTCGGAGATCCATAAAAAATGAAATCACATGGTGGTCCATAAAAAGTGAAAGATTAACTCGGAGATCCATAAAAAATGAAATCACACGGTGGTCCATAAAAAGTGAAAGATTAACACGGAGATCCATAACAAATGAAAGATTAACACGAAGATCCATAAAAAGTGAATGAATTGTTCTACCGTTGTCCTACCGATGTAAGAGCCGATGTGCTACAGAATACCACTTTCTGTTACCTTAAATGTTACCGATGCGCCCCCGATGTTATACCGAGGCATCAGTACTACTTCGGTGGTATTCGGTAGTACTGAGGTATCACATCTGTACCAGTACGGTACACATTGAGGCCACCGGAGAGCCGCCGATACATCACGGGGCGCTACCGGTGCTCTACCGACAGTAACGAAACCAAACCGGAGTACTACCGTTGTAGACCCGTTGCTCGCTCATGCGGTGAAACGGCGGAAGTTTTTGATCATGTTAATAAATGTCTACCGTTGCCCACCGTTTCTATTTTTTCGCCGATTGTTCTGACGATGTCCAGACGATGTACTACCATTCTTAGCGATGTGATACCGTTCTAGTACCCATCCCCAAAAATCGCCAAACTTGTGCTCCGGTATAGCTCCGGCGACCCAAATCGGCTGGGTGTGATAGGCCCTGAACATGTATATCGTTCATTGATGTATAAGGTCAACTGTCATTATATACACATGTACAGCTCTTAATACTTCTATATAGTTATTGGCCTTCTGCTTCACTTCCAAAGGCGACCAAAACCTTGATTGGATGTTACTGGCCCAAAAATAAATCTTTGGGCGAGTACATTATTATTTTCAAAATCGTAGTTTACTCCCGTACATTAACCACCCTAACTTCGGAAATCCTGTTCTCTCAAGAGTCTGGGTCACGCCGTTAAAACGTGCAAGTGCATCAGAATTGACACAGACGGTACCGGTCATCATGTTTACAAAATGCTTGGTAATTATTGAATGACAGCTACTCAGTTAGTTGGTGATGTCATTATCGTGGTATTATGTACCTTTCACACGAATGCTGAAAAAGTAACATTTCTTTAAAGTATAAAAAATAACATTATGTTTTTAGGGTTATGTGTCGGGAGGGTTTTATTGAAGAATAAAAAAACATCTATTTATATTGTTTTATTGGCATTTTTATTGCTCAACACTGCAAATAATCTTAGTGAAATATTTGGGCTACCAATATTCATTTTGGGCCTGCACTGATAAGGTCAAATGTGATTATATTTACATGCACAACTCTTAATACTTCTATATAATTATTGACCTTCTGCCTCAACCAACGAGTGGAAATACTTTTGGCATTAGCTCAAGTACATAATTAGCTAAAACATATGGATACTGCACCAGTAAGGTCTCCAACTGGTGAGATAACACCAAGACTACCGATGTTTTGCAAAAGTTACATATACATTGTGACATCGGTATAGAAGTATGTAAAAAGATATAAAAAATATCTATCTATAAATTGTATTACGCTATTTTCGGATTTGAACAAAAATTATATTCGGACAGCATTCACGCAATCACATACACTATGATCCACATGTTATAAACACTTCTCTGGACAATCACGCAATTGGTGAACACGATCGGATTGTTGGGTTTACATGAATACCACACTCCGAACTTAATCCACCGAAAACTATCGTTTAGATTATGAACGCTTGCAACACTTCCCTATGCGTGCCCATAATGCTTTATATAACATCTTACATTCGCCACGGAACTTGTCATCAAGGAAACAGTACACTAGTGGGTTTGTGACATTACTGATGAAGTACCCTCTCAACAAGATGTCATCGAATGGACCCAAAACACTATTAATAACTACACTGAAGTTCTTTGTAACTGCTTTGATGATTGTTAGAGCTAAATAAGGGAGATAACCCAAATACGACACACCAGTCGCTACCAGGAACATAAACGTGATTTGTTTGCTTCTATCGAACCTTTTAGGGTTTTTTTGTTTCACTTTCAATGTTTGATTAAAAATCCTTGTCCTTGTCATCGCGGTTTTCCCCAAGCTTGATTCGTCCTCGTGCATGGCGTGGTTAACTTCAGATGACACAGTAGGAATAGATTTCTTAATTTGAAAAGAGGATCTGAACTTATATTGTCGACATAGCACACGCCCAATAAATATATAAATAATGACACACACAATGAAAACAATGGTACATATCAACAACAATAACAAGTTGAACCCTTTATACACTATACTGTCTTTGAATGTGTCTAGAACTTTACAGTCTGTGCCGTTTATGCCGTACCGATCGTCGACTATCTCGATCTGAACGCCGTACATCACTAGAGCAGGGGTAGATATAACAGCAGATACCGCAACAGTTACCACGCAAGCAATCATGGCGCCATTTCCTTCTAATTGTCGGCCAAATGGTCTACACGCCTTTCGGAATCGTTCTACCGATATAACACCCAGAAGTGAACCACTGTATATACTTACAAAATGGTTCAAATACCTGAAGAATCGACATAAACCGTCTATGGTGAACGTGCAGCTGAACCGGATGTCAAAGAGTTCAAAAGGAATACTAAAGCAACACGCTATGAAATCAACAACCGCTAACCAAACTATAAATGTCCTGTGATTTGAAGATTTGTACCGTAAAAAGTAAACAAATATTGCGTGCGCATTGCCAATAGTTCCAATGATGCTGAGAATTGCGAGATACACAGTCACAGGAATATCGTTTTCAATGTAATCCTGGAGCTCAATCACAGATAAGGGCGGCACATTCATGGAAACATTGGTGTCCATCGTGAAAAAGATTGTTGTCGCATTCACCAGTCTACTATCACTCTATGCGCGTGTCACATTAACACTAGTTGTCCGGAGGATTGTTGTCACAATAATTAGTCCACGCTATGTTTGGTAATCAAGTTAACATGTCGTTCTAGATTTCAGAAATCATGAAAACAAACAAGCAATTCAATTCCGAAGTATATTCAGCGTTGTTTCTACTGCAGGATACTTGTTTGTTGACCTGCTAGATATCAAACAGCGTCCAAACCAGACTACACTACTGTCAGCTTAACTAGCATTTATCACACAGCTGGAAGGCCAGAGTAAAGATATACACCGACCCGAATAAGTCGTCACAGGTAACTGTTGTCACTAACACCTCACTCCATTGTCAGTATATGCAGTACAAATATAGTGGATCGTCCACGTGACGGCCGATTTAGTGTATACACGTCAGCCTGCGCATGCCCCGAGTTATTAGTCATACATCCATCTGACTATGCTGTGTATGTGTAAATCGTGCATACTTAAAAAGTAAGGTGTGATTTTCTGATTCATAATATGACATAAGTGACCATAAAAAAAATCATACTACTTAGTTTGGAAACATCTGATTTGCAATAGTGTTGCTATTGAACAGATTTTCATTGGCTCTTTTCCTCGGTAATTCCTTGTTACTGTGTGGGTCATTTTCTCAATAGATGCCCGATTGGGAAATTTCCATCCCGTATATTGACCCAGTCTTCTAATTCATTGAATGCGTTTAAAGTTGTATCATTTTCAGTTAATGTGTTTCAAAATATGTATTACTTTATTATTATTAAATCAAAATATTCAAAACCGCTTTTTTTTTTTAAAAAAAATCATGAAATACTGACCGTACTGTGTTTAACGGCAATGTCTCACTAGAGGGATATCACTTTTCATAAATTGTTATTCAAGGTTTTATGACCTTTTCAATCAGCGAATACCTTTCTCAACTCCCTCGGGAGCGTACAGCCTTTGCTGCCATTAAGGCGCTCACAACTAGCATTCAACAATTCTAGCACGTACTCATTTACAGCTGAGTAGACTGGAACAAGCGAATCGATGTATCTTGTTCAAAGATACTATAACAACACTTTTGTGGGGTATTGTTATACAATTTGAAAAGTAAAAGTTCTGGAGATGTGGTATGGTCCAAATATAAATTTATTAGAATAACTTTCTCTAGGTCGGTGGGTGATTTCTGGAGTATCCGAAAACACAACCGTACAGTGTTAGGGCTCATTCCCAGAGATTTCAGAGATTTTTTATTATCACTCAGACACACTATTGTGCGCAACAAGAGGTCATCATAAAGTACAATATAACAATGATATGGTTGACCGTAAAGCACTCATCTTACTATGCTAGCGTATACTAATATAATGGGTTAGAACACCAACTCTGGAGAATTGAAAGGATTGTGTTTATATAGGAAATCCTTAGTTTAGTTATAGTCTGTTTCAATTAAGAATGTCACCTCATTTCGTAGATATGATACTAAAGTCAATAATAATTAATAAAATGGATAAAAAGTTTGTATTTCCTACATATAACTGTAATACACATTTAATACAGCACTAAGTAATAGAAAATAATCATTGAATATTAATTTTTACATTATATTTGTTTTACCATGATAGCTAATATTTCAGCTACCCAAAGGAATAAGCAAGATGATACCGGATCCCCTTGTCTACAGCCCCTTTTTATGTCTACAAAGTTGGGATAAAAAACCATTCTGTATGATAGACGAGGAAGTATTTGAATTAAAACATAACAGATGATAATATCAAACTGAAGTCACACAAGTTAAACACAATTAAAAGAAATCTGAAAATAAGTACAAGTTTAACTAATATATGACAATAATTATAAGAGAATTCACACAAATCTGAAAATACAAGTTTAACTAATATATCATAATAAATATATATGACTGATTCTGAAAACTGTTCTAAATATTAATTATCATTTTGCAATTATTAGCAGTTATTGATTATCTGATTACTTATCAGAAGTTGATTTACCTGTACAACATTTCTGCAATAAACTATAAACTCACTGTCATCATAACTGGCCACCTATACGTAAACATGTGATTTTAAGCAGAGTTGGTGTTCAGGGAAGACCCCAGTCCGACGCCTAGCTCCAAACTGAAGTTACCAATCATAATCATGCCCTACTTGTACATTTACACAATAGCAATTTAGTAATTAGTTTGAGTGACATCTGTCATTCATAGCAATTAGTCTTTCAGACCCAGGCCGTACCCGTTCCTCTACATGTGAATTTTTAATGTCATATTTAATACGGGAATAATTCCCACAATATAGCTGGAAGGGAATATTATGCCCACATATAAAACAAAGGTGATCAACTTGATCCTGCGAATTATCGCCCAATTACTCTATTGAGCTGTACGTATGGGGAAACTTTTCACGTCAATTTTGAATAACAGGTTGGGAAGATTCTCTAATCGAGTTGACCTCCTCTGCAAAAATCGGTCTGGTTTTCGTAAAGGATATTCTACAATTGACAATAACTTTATAACACATGTTATGTTTGAATTATTGAAAATAAGTTAAAAAAAAATGTATTGTGCATTTATTGACTTTCAAAAAGCCTTTGACTCGGTTTGGCGAACAGGATTATGACAAAAATTAGTAAACTGTAATATTAACGGAAAATGTTTTAGAGTAATTTTTAATCTTTATGATGGTATTAAATCCAGAATAGCTTTGAATAATTGTAAATCTGAATATTTCCCATGTAATATTGGAGTTAGACAAGGTGAAAATTTATCGCCGATTTTGTTCTATGTGGGTTGCTATGCATATTTCCCTATTTCGGCATTATTTGTTGGTGTTTAAGGTGGCTCCACACATCGTCATCAGCGTCCATTTTCGTGACGTACTTCCGGAAAAAGTACAGCTCGGACTCAATTATCTTGATCGAAATGTGCATGTACACCGTGTCGTCATTTCCGTATTGCGTATAGGGCATTCAATGTCGTTGTGCAAATTATAGTTACACCTTGGCCGTTTTCGTTTAAACGGTCAAACCGATCGGACCACTGTTGTTCGTTTATTAAATAAGGTCGGACCTAGTAATCTGATGCTGCTTTCAGGCGAGCCGTGAGAAAGCCTTGCAAGGCCTGCATATACATTTGCAGGTCCGCCAGGATTTATACCCGAAATTGTTACATTTATAAACGGTCAAACCGGTTGCTCCGCATACACGAATTTCGCTGGTTAATTACGAAAGTGTGGAGCCACCTTAAGCACTTGATATAATTACTATTGCCAGTTGGAGGGTAAAACAATTCATAAATTTCATCAAAAATAGTGTCTTACCTACAAAGCGTAGCTGTACTGTACACGTGTACAGGGATTTGTTGACATGCTTCGATAGAAGTATGTCGCAGTAAATAGTAAAGAAATTATAACAAAACTGATAAATCAATAGGTATGTTATTAAAATGTAAACAAAATCTTCCATCGATTTAAAAAAAACACCATTGCCTTATTAAGGAAAATGATCACATGCCTAAATATTAAAAAAAAATAACTGAAGGAGGTTTCGAACCTACACCGTTTATTTTTTAGTCGCAAGTAAACTGCGTTACACATTCAGCTACATATAGATATTGGCAATTACAAACTTATTTAACCCGAGAAACACCGGTCGCAGTTTAGAGAAACTTGCTCTTTCATTTAACAGCTATGTTCATTTAAAAGCCGGAGTTCACAGAGAAAAACCACCGACATACGGTCAGTACCTGGCAACTTCTCCACGTAAATCTCGAACCCGCGACCCACTGTTGGAGGGCAAGTGGTAAGAGAATGTCAGACCTTGGCCACCGCGGCCCCGAGTCCTACATATATGTAACACTTCTAAACTGCATCACATTGCACACGGCCGTACTATTACGTTAATTTAGGTCATGGACATAGTTTATGATTTGTTTTATCAACAATAATACATGTATGAAGTACCGCTGAGAACTCACTGTCATAACAGTCGGCCACGTCAAATACTCATCTGGTAATATGCATGTAATACCGCTAGTTACTATATATGTACTTATGTAAGTGTACATGTTAGTTATTTTACAGTATTTGTATTTATTTTAGCGACATAAGTTTATGAATAACTGTA